TGCCTGTTGCGCCAAACGTCAGCCGGTCCGGCTGCATGCACGCGTTGTAGAATGCACGCACACGCTCTGGTGCGTGGTCAGGGAAAGGAGCGGTGGTGCATGGTGATGGTGGTGGTGATGAGCACATGTGACAGGAGGGGCTGAGGGCAGTTTGGGAAATTGGGGGTCAGTACGTTTGGGAAGCGTAGAAGCCCCCAGAACAGCGCTCCATCCCGCATAACAATACTCACACGCACACGCACACACGCAAGCACGCACACGCACACTCACACCACACGCAAGCAAGCACGCACATGCACGCTCACGTTACACGCACTCCACGCAAGCACGCACACGCACACACGCAAGCGCGCACACGCACGCTCACGTTACACGCACTCCACGCAAGCACGCACACGCACACTGCACACGCTTCCTCTCCTGCTTGCTGTGCAGACCTGGCGTGACGCCGACCACCTCGTCCTTGGTGCACACGGAGCGGTTCCCGATGGTCCTCGACGCAAACGCAGCCTGGAACGCGCAGCAGGTGTGGCGCGCGTGTGATGGAAATGTGAGTGTGACGTGACTGTGCGAGCGGGGTGAAGCAGCGAGTATGTCCTTTCTCGTGAATCTCCCCCAAACGCACACACATGTACCCTGCTCCTCCTTGTTGCTGAAGTTGTCGACCACCACCACTGCCACCACCAGCACGACTGCCAACTGTCACGAGCGGAGACCTGGAAGAGGAGGTCGTTGAGGAGCGGGCGCGGGTTGTTCTGCAGCATCTCCAGCGCATAGTCGAGCATGTGGAACTGCTCGGCAACCTGCACAGATACGATAGATGATAGGGGTGGCCGCGGTCGCGGTCGTGATGATGGTCAAGACGTGGGAGGAGAAACATGTGCCCATGGTGCACAAAACAATGCACACTGGCATTCGCGCACAACACGAGCAGAATACACACACACACACACACAAATACGCACACACTCACACACACACACATACGCACACACTCACACACACAAATACGCACACACTCACACACAAATACACACAGGTGATATCCACACCTCGTCGTCGGAGAAGCGCGGGGTGCGCATGGCGTTTGCAAGGACGTCGACGACAGCTGGCAGCTGATCCGGGATAAAGTTGATGGAGTGCAAGAGGGAATCCCTGCACACATGAGGCCGAGCAAAGATGTCGGTGAGTACTTGCCATGAGCAAATGCTGCTTTGTCGGAGACACCGACCGACCCACACACGTGCACGTGTTCTCACAACACCAAAACGCAAACACACATACAGGTTCATAAACAGCATACGCACTTGTTCATTTGAGAGAGGACGTCGCCGCCAAACGCGTGAATGGCCTCAAGCACCTCGGAGTGTGTCTGCGACTCATTTGACTAAACTCGCGCACGCAGTCAGTCACAAGAAGCAAAGGGTGAACAAGCATCACACAGTTGCACACACGTGCAAGCACAAACACATCCAACCGCACACGCACGCGCACACGAACACGCGCGGACGCACACGCACGCGCGCCCAAGCGCACGGACCTTGAATGCAAGGTGTTCCACAAAGTAGCTGCATCCCTTGTAGTCGTCCTTCTCGAACCTGGGTCCTAGCTCTGTCAGTGCCGCCAGAGACGCCCAGCCCCTGCCTTGCGGCTGGGAAATGACCTTGATGCCATTGGGCAGGACGGAGGTGAAGATCTCCGGCTCATATGCTTGCGTAGCCAGTCGCCTGCGTGTGTCAGCGTGCCTGCGAGCTGCAACCGCGCTTCTGCGCGCCACTGCCCTCGCAGCAACGGCAACCACACTCGCACCCGTGCTCATGACAAATGGTTCTGTATGTGTCAAATGGGTATGCTCGTTGTCGTCCGTTTGTGTAAGTGCACGATTGCAAGCGTTCCTCTTCTCCTCCTGTCTTCTTCCTCTCCTTCCTTCTACCCTTGTCCTTCTTTCTTCCTTTCACGAAATCACAACCGCCCAAAGCCTTCGATCGCCGCCACTCTTGCCTGTTGTGTGCACCCACCCACTGCAGCAGCTCACTCTCGCTCGTGGTGTGTGTTGTTGGTGTGTGTGTGTGTGTGTGTACTTGCAGCTTCTTTCCCTTTGCTTGTTCCCGGAGAATTGACGTTTATCATTCACAAATCGTCACAACTTGGGCAGCAGCAAAGAAGCTACACAACTGCTGCGGCTGGCGCTCTTCCTTCGTCTTGTTGCTTGTTCTCGTGTGCGGTCATTTCGCCTCTTGTTTCGCCTCCACTCCACTCGCGCCTGTTGTGCCCCTTGTTCTCACTTCTTCCGACGCAGTCATCGTTGCCCTTGTCTGTCGTGCGCCGGTTTGGTTTGTTGTTTTGTTGTCTTTCTTCGCCACCCACTTTGCATCTTTCCTTCCCACCAACCAGCCAAAGCAAGCATTTCCAATTGGGAGTTGATGACTCCACCCAAAGTGGTGACTCCGTGTTTGTGGTGAGTTTGCGGTGGCGTGGCTGTTGACACACTTGTGCGCCTCTGTGAGTTAACGTGTTTGTGTGTGTGTGTGTGTGTGTGTGTGTGTGTGTGTGTGTGTGTGTGTGTGCGCCTCTGTGAGTTAACGTGTTTGTGTGTGTGTGTGTGTGTGTTGTGTATATCTTTCTTCTTGTTGTCAACATTTTGTCTCCACCATCCCCACCATCTCTGCCATCCCCCTCACAAATACACACACACACACACACAAATACACACATGCACCACACAAGCTCACATTTTGCATCCCTCTCCCCCTCCCTCTCCTGACTGCAGACGCCCACGACGGCTGCACCGCACTTGAGAGCTCTTGTGCAAGCCACGCCACCGTGTTGAGGTTTTGGGCCGGTGTGCGGCGCTTTTGCGCTGCAACATCAAGTGCTACAACAAGCGCAACGTCGTCAGCAGCAACAACAACAGCAACAGCAAATGCGGCTGCTGCTGCCCGGATTTCGCCCACACGCTCCATTCAAAATGCAGCCACGATCCCACCGCCATCAATAGCGATTGGCTACAGCACGTGTGCGTGTCGCGTCCGCACCCATGCTCGTAGGTTCTCAACGCTTGGCCTTCACAGCAGCACAGCGTCGAGTCGCAACGTGGCAAGGCAAGCCGCAGGCACATGGCTGGCCACACATCTGCTGCCACGCCATCGGCGCCTGCGCAGCGCCCCACTGCAGACGATGCGGCTCCTGGCCACCTACCGCGTGTACCTGAAGACGGCAGACGAGCGCGGTGCAGGCATCGACTCCAACGCGCTGTTTGTGCTGCGGGGTGCACAGCACGTGGAAGAGGTGATGCTGCGACCGGCTGCCGGCAGGTTTGAGCGCGGTGAGGTGGACGTCTTCGATCTGACCTTTGAAAGGTCTGTTGGCGCCATCAAGTCCATCACAGTTGCGCCCAACACGCCGCCAAAGTACAACGGATGGCTGCTGGAGAGCGTGCGCGTGGAGCAGATTGACGGCGATGACGTGATACACACGGTCGAGTTTGTCTGCAACCAGTGGCTCGGATCCACGTTTGATGGGCTGTCGAGTCCAAAAGGCGTAACGCTCCGCGCCTCAAGCAGTGACCCGCGCCTCAGGACGGGCCTCCACCTCCACTCCAGCACAAACATGCAATCACCATCTCCAGGAGCAGCTGGAGCAGTGGTCTCGTCATCATCATCGTCTTCATCGTCTTCATCGTCGTCATCACCATCATCGTCATCGTCGTCGTCATCATCATCATTGTCGTTGGCGCCGTCGCCCGGGTCAACTGGTATGACCAGCCTGACAGGCACCAGCAACGATCACAGCACAACGTCGCTTGCAGCCACGCCAACCGCCACCATGAACAGCAGCAACAGCAGCTGCACAGCCGTGCAATCACCCAACACTAGTGCCAGCGTGGACACAAACGCCTTGAGCACCGCCACCGCCACCAACAGCAACAACAGCACCGCCAGCACCAGCACCAGCAGCGACACGGACATGGTCGTCGGTGCGACGTGCAAGTACGAGCCACCACGCATCCCCGTCACAATCAAGCACTCCGCAGCAGCCATCCCGCACAAGGACAAGGTGCGGCAGGGCAAGAAGGCCGCGTGCACGCGCTGGGACGGCATCGCAGGCGAGGACGCGTATGCGGTGCGAGAGGAGGGCGGGTTTACGCTCATTGCTGTTGCAGATGGCGTGCACGCATGGGCGGAGCGCGGGATTGACAGCGGGGCCATGGCAAAGGCAATTGTGCGCGCGTGCTCGCACTTCTTCATGGAGGAGGTGGCCGAGTACAACCGAGATGTGGTGGAGGACTCGCACGCGTCTGCCGCCCCACACACTGCCGATGCAAACGCCGATGCCGCCGCCGCCACCACCGCGCTCAACAGCAGCAACAGCAGCAGCAGTCATGGCCACGAGCATGAGGAGGAGGAAGAGGAGCAACACGCGTGCGCGGGCTCAGCATACGCGACCACCACCACGACGACGACAACATCGCCGCTGCCGCTGCCGGACAACGGAGAGCGGCGGGCGCCGGATCCTGAGACGATTCTCGGCAAGGCGTGGACAGCTGTGCGTGCAGGCAACATCCAAGGCAGCAGCACCATCACGCTGATGGTGATTGACCACAGCAGCGGTCGCCTCAAGGCAGCCACGCTTGGCGACAGCACCTTTGTTGTTGTCCGCCCTCCCTCTTCATCAACAACGACCACAGCGAACGATGCACCGTCATCGCCATCATCATCACTGTCATCCTCTTCCTCCAGCAGCAACAACAACAACAACAACAACAACAACAACAACAACAACAACAACAACAACAACAACAACAATAGCAATGGGGCATCCTTCCCCACGGCGTCGCTGTATGGGAGCAGCGTGATGACACACAGCCCGCTCATTGCCTTCAAGGGCAAGATTGTCGAGCACTTCTTTGGCAAGCCGTACCAGCTCGGGCACCACGCTGCCTCCGACGCACCGGCGGACGCTGTTGTGCAAGAAACGACACTCCGCGCGGGCGACGTGGTGGTGGTTGGTACAGATGGCCTCTTTGACAACCTGCACGACTCTGAGATTGCGGAGACGGTGCTGTCTCAGGGCCCCAAGTCCATGTGGCTGAGCGCACGTGCGCTGGTTGCTGAGGCGTTTAACGCCGCAATGGACAAACTGCGGCAGTCGCCGTGGTCGGAGGTGGCCAACGAGGAGCTGGGCATGTTCTACTCCGGCGGCAAGCCAGACGACATCACCGTCGTCACCGCAGCCATCAAGTGATGCCTTTGCTGTTGCTGTGCTCTTGTGTGTGTGTGTGTGTGTGTGTGTGTGTGTGTGTGTGTGTGTGTGTGTGTGTGTGTGTGTGTGTGTGTGTGTGTGTGTGTGTGTGTGTGTGTGCGTGGGTGTGTGTGCGTGGGTGTGTCTGTGTCTGTGTGTCTGTGTCTGTGTGTCTGTGTCTGCGTGTTGTGTGCGTGCACTTGTTACTTCGTGCGTACACTTGTAACTTGTGCGCATGTATGCGACTGTGTTTCTGTTTCTCTGTTCCTCTCTGCGTATCTGCTTGCCCTTTTGGCGTGTGTGGTTCCATTTTTTCCCGCCTGCTTGAATGCTTGCAAGCTGTTAGCTCTCCATGCCCTCTCTTCACGGACTCCTGTGGTTTTCTTCTTCGCTCTCTATTTGACATGACCGTGTTATTCCCTCTATCTTCCTACAATACGCACCTTGTGTGTGTGTGTGTGTGTGTGCGTGCGTGTGTGTGTGTGTGTGCGTGTGTGTGTGTGTGTGTGTGTGTGTGTGTGTGTGTGTGTGTGTGTGTGTGTGTGTATGTGCTCTTTTGTGCACGCTCTCTTGTGCACACCTTTCTGTGCACGCATGTCTGTTGCGTTTGCCCGTTCGTGTTTTGTTGGCTGCATCGGCTCCCATTGGCTGGGATGAAGCCGTAATGCATGTGTTCTGCTGAACGTACACCTTCTTGACTCTTGAGTGCTCGAAGCGATCAGGGTTTGAAATCGTATATGGCAAAGGGGTTACGGGGCGGGTCTGTTTGTTAGGCGTGGTGGTCAGCAAGCAAGCTAGTGAAGGACAAGTCTGGGCAGAAGAGAGATCCAGGGAGATGCCGTTGCCCGAGACGCAATAAGGAGAAGGCTAACAATGGGCTGTTGCAATGAACAGGACAGGTTGGTTGCACAAGACCGAAGCAGCAAACTTGAATGAAGCGAGCATTGAGCTAACGGCACTTGACGTTGATCCGAGAATCAAGGAAGGGGAAGGCTGTGATATGCTCGCAGTGGTAGCAACCTTTGCAAGCTTGGATCAAAAACACAGAAGCACACATTTGACAAAGCAAAGCTTGTCCTTAACCATTCGTAAGAGCAGGATTAAACATCGCACGTCATCGCACGATACACACACACACACTAAATTGAGGGTACATGCATGACGCCTTAGCACATGCATTCTTGCAGCAAGGTAGAGGCGAGATTGCGAACAACGGGGGCAGGGGCATTGTCATGATGATGGCCTGGTGGCTGCACGTACACGCGCAGCCCCTCGGCAACGTGTTGGAGAATGGCGGCGGCCGTGGCTGCATCGGAATCATCATCTTGTTCAGTCTTCGACTGCTGCTGCTGCTGCTGCTGCTGCTGCTGTGAGTCAGTAGTGAGCAGCAGCTTGACCAGGCGCACCAGCTTGATGAGGACGCTCAGGCACACGGTCTGCGTGCTGCTGGGCTGGGTTCCAGTGTTCATGGCCGCAAGCACCTGTAGGGTGGCGTCCGTGCACCACAGCAGTACGGCATCGTGCCCATCCTCATCCTCCGCATCCCCCTCCCCCTGCTTGTGCTCTCCCTCGTCGGCGTGTCCACGGTGCTGTGACGGTCCCGAGTGCGGTGTTGCAGCGTGGGTGTTGTCCCTGTCGGGGTCGGTCACTGACGACAGTTTGGGGGCGGGTGCCATCTCGCGCGTGAGCTGCGCCGCCGCCGCGTCGATGGATCTGCACAGGGCCGTGACGAGGTGGCTGCTGCCCTTGTGAGTGTTGAGCGCGTGGATGAGCGGGTTGAAGTGCCCACTGCGCACAAACGCGCGGAGCTTGGCCTCCTTCTTTTGAGCGAGCGTGGTGAGGATGGCACAGCCTGCGTTGAGGATGGAAGGGATGGTGGGGTGTCGGGTCATGGCGCTGGTGACGATGTCCACAATGCCCAGCAGGGTCAGGTCGTGGCGCGTTTCGGGGCAACCCAGCACCATGGCCTCCAGCAGCTCGCAGCCGTGGCTCTGCATGACGACGTCATCCACGTGCGCGCACATGGCCAGCAGCACAGACAGGACACACTCCTTCAGCACAGCACATGCACTGGCGCCCAACTGCTGTTGCACAGCAGCGTGTTCATTTCTCCGAGCGTCGTCGTCGCCCCCGTTGTCGTTGTTCTTGCAGCTCCTCGGAGTGGGAGGGCTGGTGGATGTGGCGGACGTTCGCGCCGTGCCTGTGGTGGTTGCGGTTGTGGTTGCTGTTGTGGTTGCGGTTGTGGTTGCAGTGGTGGTTGCTGTGGTGGTTGCTGTGGTGGTTGCTGTGGTGGTTGCGGTGGCCGAGGCGAGTGCCGCCTGACAGCCCTGTCGCCGATGGGACATGTTGTAGTTCACCACGTGCTTGAGAACAAAGCACGCACGGCGCTGCAAGGTTGCATTCCACTGGTGGGCGTTCATGGCAGCGGCAATGGCTGCCAACGCAGACGGCTTCGATGCCAGGAACTGCACGGCAGATGGGTGGTCACCCGCGCCGCCTTCCTCCTGGTCGCGGTGCCTCGTGTCGCGAATGAAGACGGCCAGCTCGCCCATGGTCGCGGCCAGCGCTTCGCCGTCATCGCGCTGCTGTCGCAGATTGTACAGGAACACGGACATGCACACGGCCGTTGTGACGGGGCTGACGTTGCGTGGGGTTGGCTCAGCCTCGGTAGGGGATCCTGGCTCTGGTGCAGCTGGGTCACTGAAGATGCTGTTGTCGGTGTCGTCTTTGCTTGTGTGGGTGCTGTTGTCGTTGGTGTTGACGCGCCTCAAGCCATCACCAGTGTTGGCGTTTTTGTGGTCGTTGTGGGTGTGGCCATCATGGTTTGTGGTCGGGGTGGTGGTGTTGAGTGCCGGGCTGTTGTTGGTGCGGCTGCGAGCGACGAGCACAGCTGTAGTGGCCCGTGCGTTCGCGTCCCCCAACGGCTGTTGGGTCTTGTGGCACACGCTGCCTGCACGATTGGGCGTGGGGCTGCGTGTGGGTGACCGTGCCAAGGGGGAGTTGGGCGACACGTGCTGCAGCCCGGTCTTGGTGTGGGATCGTTTCCGCTGCGTGGTTCTGCGCACGGCCTCCACTTGGGATGCGAGCGATGACCTGAGTGCGCCCATGCTCTGCGTGCGACGCAGCATCCTGTCCTTGGGGGTGCTGGCACTTTTGTTGTTGTCGCTGGCGTTGCTGAGGTGGTGGCAATGGTGGTGGGGGTAGTGCTGCTGGCTCTTGTGTCGTGGCAGGGGGGCAATAGGCTCGGCATCGCCTTTGGCCTGCTTCGAGCCGTTACGGGTAATGGAGGCGAGCAGTGCCCTTGGATGCATAATGATGGTACCTGTGCTGTTGAGGCGGCGGCGCTGCTGCTGCTGCTGCTGTGGCTGCTGGCTTGCAGCGTGTGCATTGATGGAGATGAGGGTGATGACGGCGTCCATGACCTGCTCGGGGGGCTCGATGGCTTCTGGCGACGCTGGTGGCGATGCCGACGAAGCATGGATTGTACCCGTCATGCTGGGCATCCACACGACGCTGCAGAGACAGGGGTGCATGCAAGGGACAGTCACTGCGGTCAGAACACAACGAGACAGAGGTGGGAAAGGGGTGGTGGTGGTGGTGGCGGCGGTGGTGGTGGTGGCGGAGGAGGAGGAGCAGGAGCAGGAGTGCGCAAAGATCCGCGCGAGACATCGCGGTTCTACAAGTGTGTTGGCGAAGTACTGCAAGTGTGCCTTGTCAGATGACACACACACAAAACACACACACACACACACACACAAACACACACACCAACGCACATAACCACACATACACACACACACACACACGGACACAGTTGCACACGTGTACACGGCATACCTGTGGTGTGGGGTGAGGGAGAGAAGACATTGGGTTGACTTGTACTTGAACTTGGAGCACATGTGGATGAGCAAAGTGGGTTTCTTGGCCTCCAGGATGCATCGAAGCTCATCGTGATAGCTGAAGGCGTCGATGGTGCGCTTGCCATACAGTTTTGTGCCCAAGATGACGATGAGGGTCGCGTCCTCGATGGCCCGTTGGGTGGCCAGGCCTTGATCCACACTGTGACGGCTAAGATGAGTGCACTGCACGGAGCCCAGGTCGAGGTCCGCGATCTTCTGCTTGAGCGCGTATGCCTCCCGCCTGGCCTCAATGTCCTGAAACGAGACGAACACGCGCGCGGGCCTTGGCGCTGTTGACGATGACAGTGGCGGAGGTCGTCGTTGTGCCAGTGGTGTGTTGCTGCCCATCTTGCTAGTCAGACAGCCTGTCCGCGCTGACGACACTGGCTGGGGGGGGGGGATTGCCCGTTTCTTGCCAGCAGGAAGGTTCAACCGGTCGACTGCAACTCTTGTAACCGTTTCCTTGAGGCGAAAGCTGCGGCTTGTCGCAAGGTGGTTGGGTCTTTCTTGTTTCTTCCGGGTGTTGGATGACTGGACGGCTGGATCCAAGAGCGGGGTGGGTCTTCACTCGCGCGGTAGCGACGGTGTGATGGAGCTTGCCGTATGGGCTAGTAATGGGTGTGGTTGCAGGGCTGCTTCTTGTGGTCGGTCGTGTCCTTGGGATGAATGACGAAGGGCCGAGGTTTGTTTGTTTGTATTTGGTCATTCGAGCTGATGTGCGTGTGTGTGCGTGCGTGTGTGGTGCGAAGCTGTGTGTCAGATCTGGTCAAGAAGTGTGAGTACGAGCGAGGCACAACTACTGCGCCCAGTGCAGAGGGCGATGCTCTTTGTTTTGGTTCTTTGTTTACATTAAATTATTTCCACCCGAAAGCCACAGCAACAACAGCAACAACAGCAACAACAGCAACAACAACAACAACAGCAACTGCATGGGAGGAAGCGGGAGATTGAAAGTCCATGGCACACTCAGGGGTTTGCGTAAGACCAAACGATTGCTTGCCAAAGAAACAAAGCGTGGCGAAGTGCCTGTCGTCATCATGCACGTCACAACAAAGGGGGTTGCAGCAATCCTGCAACACCAGTGCAAGTCCGACGTCTGCTCCGACTGTTGTCCTTTGTTGTTGTTCAAATCATGTCAGCAGTCCTTTGTTGTCGTCGCGTTCATTAATTTACAGTTCATACGCTCAGGGCACTTACGTTACTTTAGCATGGAATCACAAGTGGTATGACTTTAATTTTTTAATTTGTGCGCCACAAATTCACATCAGGTCAGGCTTGCTTCGTGAGCCAAAAACTGGAGGGAGGTATCCACCGTGACAACTGACACGTCCTTTCACCAATATCTTTCAACAATGTCCGTTGCATGTCTGCACTAATGCGCACTGCTATGAGTCAACATTGCGGGGACATCGCCTGACTGACTGATTCTGGGGGCAAAGCACGCAAAAAGGCAAGAAGCCAGCTGTGCGTCATCGTGGCTCATACTCAAAAAATACATACATCAACACACCCTTCTTGGCTTGCTTGGCTGCACACGAGTGCGCACAAACACTCCCGCCACCATTCTTGTGCTTCCCACGTCCTCACCGACACCTGCTGCCGCGCGCGACCAACCATCATCCACTGCCTCCCTCTCTCTTGTTGTTGTTACACCTCTGCTTCTTATCCCGTGCGCTTTGTGTGTCACGGTCACTTTCTCTCCCTCAATCACATTCAAGCCGGTCTTCTTTTTCTCAAGCTTCCATTTCAGCATACAACAAGTACAAGTCGTGTGACCTTCACCAAAACACAAACACAAACACAATCCTCCGAGCCTGCTGCCGTCTGATCCCGACGTCTGCCTGATCTCGAGTTTGCTCTGCTGTCCTTTTGTGATCCTTCTGGTTCCCCTTTCTTCTCCCTCCACTTCGTCTCGCAACAAGCAACACCGCAACCATGGCCGCCGAAATACGCGTGATGCACCAGCATGAGACCACCATCCAAGCCAAGGTGGTGCCCGGCCTTGTGTTCTGCCACGACTCGCAGGACTTCCGATCGAAGGTGCTGCTGTCAACGCAGGGCGGGCGCAAGACCTCTGCCGCCCGCATCCTGAAGAAGAACGGCCGCCTGTGGAACATGCCCATCCCAGAAGGGTACGAGCTTGCCATGTTCTCCACGGAGGACCCGGCCATCTTCTGTGTGCCCGGTGACACCACAAACCTCGCCGACTGCACGCGCCTCAACCTCTACCGCAAGTGCCTCATGGCCGATCAAGCCGGCGTCACCTTTGACCTCACCACCACCAAGGACTGTGTGTGCGCCCTGCCCTACCGCACCTTTGGTGACGTTGCCTGGCACTTTCTCGTTGCTCTCCGCAGCGAAGGCAACCTTCACTGGTTCCTCTCAAAGGAGACGTTCACCCTCGTCAATGGTGCGCTTGCTTTTGTTTGTGTTGGTGTTTGTGTTTGTGTTTGCGTGTGTTTGGTGTTTGTGTTTGTTTGTGGATGAGTAATCGAGCACGGCTCGCGGCCTCCTGTTGCTTGTCCATCGTTGCCCCTTCTCTCTCTCTCTCACACACACACACACTATCTCTCACACACACGCGCACGCACACACACACACACACACACACACACACACACACACACACACACACACACACACACACACACACACACACACACACACACACACACGCTGGCAGATGACTCCAAGCCGACGAGGAGGCGGAAGCGCACCCCTGCAAACAAGACGGGCAACACTGGCGCAAGCACAACTTCCGCCACCGCAAATAAACAGGAGGAGTGCGACGTTGCACAGGCGCAGCAGGCGCAGCAAGCCACAGCTCAACAGCAGCAACAGGCGCCAGCCATCGTGCTTGGTTCATACGTGTACCATCGCCAAGCACCCAACGGCCCAATTGGCACCGTGATGGAGGTGGACGACACGAGCAGCCTTGCAGTTGTCTCCTGGTCCACGGGATCCCAGATCATCTACCACGTGACAGACCTCATGCCGGCCATGCCCGCAACACAGCCGCCAGCGCCCACGCCTCACATGGTCAGCAATACCGCGCCCTTCTCCATGGGGCAGCAGCAGCAACCAACACAACCCGTGCTCAACCTCGACTCGACCTGGCAGCAGGCTGAGCAGCACCAGCACCAGCAGCACCAGCCCATGCAGACACAGGGCTCCCTCGACATGTTTGTCAAGGAGGAAGAGGTTGTGCAGGCACCGTTTCTGTCCACGCCCAGCGACCTCCCAGACTTGCTGCCCGCACACCCGTCTGCGTCCACAACATTCGACACTGCACCTTTCTCCGGGTTCCAGATGCACCAGGACCAGTTTACTCAGCAACAGCAACAGCACCAGCTGCAACAA